TCTGTATACTCATTCTATCAATTATTGAAAGAGAAGTGTTGAAGTCTCTGCCTATAACTGCGGCTTCCTTTATTTCTGCATGCAGTTCTCCCAGTTTTTGCTTCATGTATTTTGATGCTCTATTACTAGGCACATAAACATTTAGGATTTTAGGTTTTCTTGATGAACTGACCAATGTATTATTTTGAAATGATCCTGTGTAATATTCTTCACTATGATATGATTTTGGCAAATATTAATATAGCCACTCCAGTTTCTTGGGATTGGTGTTAACATGGTATATCTTTCTCCATACATTTGTTTTTCTTTCTCCATACTTTTAACCTATTTATGGCTTTATATTTGATGTACGTATCTTGTAGGCAACAGATAATTGGTTCTTATGTTTTAGCCTATCTGACAATCTCTGTCACGTAACAGGAATATTTAGACCATTCACATTTAATGTGATTATAGATAGGGCTAGATTTAAATCTACCATCTTGGTATCAGTTTTCTGTTTTTCCCATCTGTTCTTTGTTCCCCTTTTTCCTCTTTTCCTGCTTTCTTTTGGACTGAGTACTTTTTATCATTCCATTTTTACTCTTTTGTTGGTTATTAGCTATTATTTTATTTTGTTTTTAGTGGTTGCTATAGAGTTTACGTTCTATATATTTCACTTATCAGTCTACCTTCACATACTATCATTCCACTTCGTGTATGGTATAAGAACATCAAACCAGTGCACTTCAATTTCTCCTCTTTTAGCCTTTGTGCTTTTTGCGTTTTCACACATTTTACTTCTATATATGTTATAAACCCTACAAAACACTGTTATCCTTGTTCTTTCAACAGCCAATTATCTTTTCAAAAGATTTAAATAATACAGAATTTTTTTAAATTACCCACATATTTACACTTCTAGTGGTTTTCATTCATCTATGTAGATCCAGATCTTTATCTGGTATCATATTACTTCTGCCTAAAGAAGTTTCTATGACAGGGGCACCTCGGTGGCTCCGTCGGTTAGGCGTCGACTTCAGCTCGGGTCACGATCTCACGGTTTTTGAGTTCGAGCCCTGCATCGGGCTCTGTGCTGACAGCTCAGAGCCTGGAGCCTGCTTCAGATTCTGTGCCTCCTCTCTCTCTCTGCCCCTCCCATGCTCATGCTCTGTCTCTCAATAATAAATATTAAAAAAAAAAAAAAAGAATTTTCAATGACATTTCTTGTAATGCAAGCCTGCCAGTGATACATTCTTTCAGCTTTTATATGTGTGAAAGGTTTTTGAAAGATATTTTCAGTGGATAGAGAGTGCTAGGTTGACAGTTTTTTCCTTTAGTTCTTTAAAGATTTGTTTCACTGTCTTCTGGACAATGAGAATATTGTTGTCATCCTTACCTTTGTTCCACTGCATACAATGTGTCCTCTTTCTCTGGATGATTTTTAAATCTTTATCACTTAATTTAAGCAATTTCATTTTATTTTTTGGCACAGTTTTCTTCGTGTTTCTTGTGCACAGGGGGTCATCAATTTTTGTAGATCTGCAGATTCATAGTTCCCATCAAATTTGAAAAACTTTTGGCCATTATTTAATTACTTTTTCTAACTCTCCTTCTTTTCTTCTGAGACCTCCAATTACATGTATATTAGTCCACTTGAAGTTGTCCTCAGGTCATCAATGCTCTATTCATTTTTTCAGTCTACTTACTCTGTTGCATGTTGGCTTATTTTTTATTACTACGTATTCAAAATCATTAATCTTTTCTTCTTTAATATCTGATCTGCCACGAATCCCATAAGTATATGTTTTATCTCAGACGTTATAGTTTTCATCTCTAAATTGATGTGCATCCTTTCATGTCCTCAATGCCTCTAATACATTCAATCTGTCCTCCAGCTTCTTAAACACATGGAACTTCATTATAATTATTCTTTTAAAATCCTTGTCTACTAGTTCTATGTCATTTTCTTGCCTATTTGCTTAACTGGTTAGTTTTGGATTTCAGACATTATTAATTTTACCTTGTTGGATATTATATACTTTTGTTTCCCTATAAATATTCTGGGGCTCTGTTCAGGTTCAGGTATTGTGTTTATGCTTTGTTAGGTAGAACTAGGGAAACTTTAATCTGGGGTTCATTTTGCCCCACTACGGAGGCAAACCAATGCTCCTTCTGAGTAATCTAACTGGCGCTCCATGAATTATGCAGCTTTCCACTCTAGAAAGAAAGGAACAGCTTGGGCTGTTGGAAGAAAATACCACAGATTGGGTGGCTTAAACAAAAGAAATTTATTTTCTCATAGGTCTGTAGGCTACAAAGTCCAAGATCAAGGTTCCAGCAGGGTTTATGTTGAGAGCTCTCTTTCTGCCTCACAGACAGCTCACCTTCTTGCTGTGTTCCCACATGACAGAGCACTCTGGTGTTTCTTCCTCTTCTCATGAGAGCACCAATTCTATCAGATCAGGGTTCCAACTTCTGACGTCATTTATATATTTTTTATGTTTATTTTTGAGAGAGAGAAAGAGAGCAGGAGCAGGGGAGAGGCAGAGAGGGGAATCCGAAGCAGGTTCCAGACTCCAAGCTATCAGCACAGAGCCTGACGCGGGGCTCGAACTCACGTACCGTGAGATCACGACCTGAGCCGAAGTTGGACACTTAAGTGACTGAGCCACCCAGGCACCCCCCACTTATGACCTCATTTAAAGCTAATCACCTTCTTAAAGACCCCAGCTCCAATACAGCCACATGAGGTTTTAGGCTTCAACATATGGATTTGGGGGCACACAATTCATCATATAATAGGAACTTATTTCTACATCTGTGTGAGCTCTGAGGACTATTCCCTTTAATTTTTTAGGCAGTTCTTTCCCTAGTCTTAGATAGTTTCATCATACCCTTAAACTGATGAGTACTCAGACGAAGACTCTTTGCAGATCTCTAGAATTCTTCTCTGCTTTCTTGTACTCTCTATTGTGAAATGTAGCTACGTTTCCTCCCCTGCCTCCAACTCTGTCTTTCTCAACTCAGAGAGACTACTGTGCTCTGCCTGAGGTCTCCCTCCCTGCACTGCAACCAGAAACTCTCTCAAGATATAAATTGGGACAGGGGCACCTGGGTGGCTCAGTCAGCTAAGTGTCCAGACTTCAGCTCAGGTTATGATCTCACAGTTCATGGGTTGTGCTGACAGCTCAGAGCCTGGAGCCTGCTTCGGATTCTGTGTCTCCCTCTCTCTCTGCCCCTCTCCTACTCATGCTGTCTCTCTTTCTCTCTCTCTCAAAAATAAATAAACATAAAAAAAAGATATAAACTGGGACATGTGTAGAGCTCAGCTCATTTCTCAGCAATCCCTCCTTTGCTGCCTAATGCCCAGGGTTGTGAAAATCTTTCCTTTTCCATTATTTTAGGTGTTTCTGGAAGCAAAGTAATCCAACCTTGTTCCTTCATCTTGTCCAGAAATAGTTTGTACTGGACACTTACTTCTGTCTCCGCCATGCTTCCCTACTACAACCACTAATTAATCTTCAGTCTTCTACTTAGATCACATTTTATCTGGAAAATCCTTCTGAACACCTCACAGCTCAGGCAAGGGCTCCCTGGAGGTACTCTCCCCCGCCAAGGGACCTGCCATGCTGTGTTAGAATTACTGCCTCAACTGCCCACATACCCCCTGCCATCATGCAGAAGCTGGAGTTGTGAGCTGTGCAACTGCTCTATCCCAACACCTAGCAGAACACCCCAACACAGCACAGATTTGTGCTCCACAAATCTACCTGAAGGAATAAACAAATGAAAGAAGCTCAGACAGCAGCTGAAGCCACATTCACTTTATCAGTGAGTTTGTTGTGCATCATCCATTTCCTTGAAGAAAGATTATAAACTACTAGTTATAATTATGAAGTATTTAATACTTACAGTTGTAACATTAAAAACAACAAGATGGAATGGTATTCCACCCCCGCCCCCCACCGCGTGGTAGCAGGTATTGAAGAAAATAATCTATTACTAACGGCGTACTGTGAACATTCAAACCAATTTCAGAGATAAAGATGCCTTTAACATATGTTCATTACCACCCAATTTTACCTTAATATGGGTAATGAAATCAGAGGACCCAGTATAAACACTCCTTGAGAAATTCAAATTGTGACTAATTAACTTCCCTCCAGAGTCAAATGCTTTAGTCCAATCACCCAATCTAAAATTAGCGGAAAAAATATTAATGTCACATCTTTCGGTTTTACTTCTTCCCCATATTTTGAGAAGCCACATTTGAAAGGATTGATGGCATACAAAAAAAAAAAAAAAAAAGGATGACAAAGGCAGATGAAATGCTGAAATGTCAAGACCCAAGATGGAAACCTGATATTTGAAACGGTTGTCCTTGCCTGCCTGTGGGCTAGCTGCCTACAATCCCAGAGCCTCAAGGACTACTGCAGTCCCCGGGGGCCCTCCAAGAAGCCTAATTACCTGGTATGTTCTAAAATGCACCTTTTATAAAGACATCAACGAGAATATGCTTTGACAGTTACCCCACCTCCATTTCAGGACACTGAATGGAACCCAGGAAGAGACTCCCATAAAATACCAGTGTTGCATAAAAACATAAAAGGATACTTCCCACATTAAGAATTAACTTAGGAGAGTGGCGCCTGGGTGGCTCAGTCGGTCTGGCTTTGGCTCAGGTCATGATCTCACCATTCGTGGGTTCAAGCCCCGCGTCGGGCTCTGTGCTGACAACTCAGAGCCTGGAGCCTGCTTCAGATTCTGTGTCTCCCTCTCTCTCTGCCCCTGCCCTGCTCACACTCTCTCTCTCTCTCTCCCTCCAAAATAAACAAACATTAAAAAAAAATTTTTTTTAAGAATTAACTTAGGAGAATAAAAAACCGAGACCCCTCAGCCAAGCTTTAATTCTTATCAAATACAATCAGTATCATCGCAGTGATTCTGAAACTGAGGGAGGAAGGCCACAAAATTCCAACATATGACCCACACAAGAATTCTAGAAGGCCAGGACTTACACTACAGGGGTTGCTGGCTGTCTGAGCAGGGCTGTAGAAGGACCCCCACTGCGTGGCTCGCCTCTCGTCCCGGGAAGGGGTGCTGTTCACAGGCAGGACAGCTGGGACCCCGGGGCCTGTGACTGCAGCACTGGCAGGCTGGCTGCTGGGGGCCACGAGGGCAAAAGCGTCATCCAGGAGGGAGTGCATGGTCTGGCGCGCCTCCTCGATGGACGGCTGAGGCGGGATGTACTGGGAGGCTGGGAAGGGCAGGCCCGGATACCTCCCCAGCTCAGCAGAGGACGGCGTCTGTACATCGGCTGGGAGATCGGGATCAGACTAGGGCAAGACAAAGAGCAAAGGGAACAAGGATCAGATGTGAGCTTATGTGGTGACGTGAAAACCACAGGGCCAAAATGGGATTTAACAATTTTCACTGACAGTGAAGAAAAGGTCACCCGTAAGAATTTTTTAAATGGCGGCTAACGATGGTGGTAGCAGGCGGAGCCTGAATCAGGATGGAAGGAAAAAGTGAAGATATTCAAAAATCATTTGTCCAGCAAAATTCAACCAATGAGCTGAAATGCACTTCAATACCTGCAAGTGTGTGTTTTTATTAAATGTCCCTAAGCAGCCAAAAATGATGTCTCAGAGTCTTAGTTACTAAACTACCTAGTCAACTTTTCATAGATACCAAAGTCTAAAGCAGTCTATTGACTACAATAAGAAAAAGTAGCCCTACACACCCTCAAGAGAGTTCAAAGTCACCACCATATTACACCTGTGTGTATAAAAAATGTTGACACTGAGGTGCCTGCGTAGCTCAGTCTGTTAAGTGTCTGCCTCCTGATATCGGCTCAGGTCATGATCTCGTTCATGGTCTTGAGGCAGAGCTCCACGTGGGGCTCTGTGTTCATCATGGAGCCCGTGTGGGAGTCTCTCTCTGCCCCTCCCCCACGCACGCACACATACACGTGTGCACTCTCTAAACTTTTAAAAATTTAATACTTATTGTAACTACTTGTTATAGTAAACAGAGAGTATTCAGAAACCACGTTTTAATTTTTAATTTTTTTAAGTGTATTTATTTATTTTGAGGGGTGTAGGGAGGGTCAGAGAGAAAGGGAGAGAGTGAGAATCCCAAGAAGCTCTGACTGTCAATTCAGAGCCCGATGCAGAGCCTGAACTCATAAACCCATGAGATCATGACCTGAGCCAAAATTAAGAGTCGGACGCTTAATCGACTGAGGTGCCCCCAGAAACCACATGTTTTTAAATGGAACTATCTCTGGATAACGTGAGTCATCAAGAAAGGTTTAAATATTATTCTATACAGGGGCACCTGGCTGGCTCAGTCAGTTAAGCACCTGACTCTTGATGTTGGTTCAGGTCATGATCCCAGGGTTGTGCTCTCTCAAAAATAAATATTAAAAAGAGGGGGGAGGGGCGCCTGGGTGGCTCAATCAGTCGTTGCATCCTCCGACCAGGTCACGATCTTGGCGTATGAGTTCAGTTTGCCGGGCTCTGTGCTGATCGTTTCAGAGCTCGAGCCTGTTTTCAGATTTGTGTCTCCTTCTCTCAGGAGCCATCCTCTGCTTCATATGTCTGTCTTTCTCTGTCTCAGAAATAAATAGCAAGAAAAAAAAAGTGGGGAGAAAAGAAGGGCACCTAGATGGCTCAGTTGGTTGAGTGTCTGACTTCGGCTCAGGTCATGATCTCGCAGTAAGTGGGCTCGAGCCCCACATCAGACTTCTCTATGCTGGCTCAGCCTGCAGGCTTCCAGCCTGATTCTGTGTCTCCCTCTCTCTCTGCCCCTCCCCTGCTGGATCTCTCTCTCCCTCTCTCTCTCTCTCTCAAAAATAATTATTAAAAAAAAAACTTTTTAAAAAAAGCCTCTGTCCTGTCCAACAGACGACCCATTATTACTCATGCCAGCATCAAACATTTAAGGGCAGTCACTGCTTAACTCCAGACAGAAAACCACACTACAGACTGGCAAACCACAAACGGCCCACAGACCTGTTTTGCTTGGCCTGTGCAGTCTTAAAAAAATAAAGAGCTAATATTTTTTAAAACCTGAAGATTTAATATTAACACTCAGATTTGTGGATTCCCTTGGCAGAACCTGAAGCTGTTGGCATCACCCGGTCCTTACTCCTCCGACAGAAACAACTGCCGTTGAGCAGTGGCTGGCTCTTGAGATGGATCCGGGGCTCTTCCCCTCCCAACAGCAGGGGGGTGGTCCCATGCTGTGTACGTGACACCTCGGTCTCTTTCTCTAAAACTGGGCTATCCCAGGAAAGGTTCCAGTAAGTGAGAGCTGTCCTCAAGGAATTGTAAGGATTCGGGGCCCCCAGGGGTTCTCTGACGCATGACGAGCGCTAGAAGAACTCTGTGTTCCTTTCCTTACGAGGCTGATAAAAGGTCCACAGGCAGGCCCTTCTCCCATTCTTGGATTTCTTGAAGAGCAGAAAGGGAAGACTGTGGTCAGTTGTGTGTCACCAGACTAACAGTTCATGGTGGAACAAAGGAAAAGGGTGTCTATAAACACATCCCACTGGCGAGTGAAAGGGTCTCTCCAAAGAAAGAAGTGATGTTCCTGGTGGTGGTTCCAGGAAGTGACTAGTTACCTGTTGTTTACATGAAAGAAGGCAAGAAAGAAACAACAGGCCCAAAATGGAGTCGCTGCCCACCCCAGGAGCAAACCAAGACTTCACTGCATTTTCAGCCTCTTCCAGGAATGTGACCTTTAACCAGTCAATCTGGAAATTCCTGATCTGCACTAGTGAGGTAACAGGCGTGATAGACCACCCCCCCCCCTTCCCCCAGAGAAAGGTGACCTTGCCTGAAACAATTCGCTCTTTGTTAGAAAACTTCCTTTTCTGCCCCCTTCCATTTTGTACAGCTCCTCGGAGCTCCTTTCAACTCTCCGCGTCTGATGCTGTGGGATTCAAGAGCTGTTGAGTAAAGTCTATGAGATCTTCAAACTTACTCGGGTGAATCCTGCTTTATAGCGTTGTGTGGCAAGGAAGCGAGCATGTGGCCACACAAAAAACTGCAAGCCTGAACAGAGATTCCAACTGTTTAACTTTTACAGCAAAAAGTATGCTGTGAAGGAGGGACTCCTGAATCTTGCCAAGAAGGCAAAGAGCTACGGAGCCATGACGTTAGAGCTTCCCGTTCTTTCTTCTTCCGGTCTCCTCATTTTGCAGGCTACACTGCCAGCAACTTGCAGGCCAACAAGAGATCTTCATTTTTCTGTATCTCGACACCTGTAGGGTGTTTCACATAGAAGTGGTAGTCAATAATACAGGGGGAACCGTGGTCTATGGAAAGGAAGATTTATCCAGGATCCTGCTGGAATTTGCATTCCACTCTCTTGAATCTCAGCCTGATAATTTCGTTATTAGTCAATGTGTTTTCCTTCAGACAGGTACACATTCGCCCATCATTCCTCAGAAATACATAGGAAGTTTTTACCTTCAGTCATCAGACAGGATGTACTCTGGTGCCCATTTTGCAGTCTTCTGTAGGAATTCTAAGAGAGTGATCAGACACCCTGGCTGGCCCAGGACAATGTCAGGGTACGCCTGCTGTCCCAGTATAATCATTAATAGAGACTCTTTTCACTCTCCCAAGTGCCAGGCTTGGATGATAAATTGTATCAGGGGTAGACAAACCTTTTCCGTAAAGGGCCAGACAGCAATTATCTTAGGCTCTGTGAGTCACAGAGACTTTGCTGCTCTGTTGTTTAACTCTAACACTGCAGCAGGAGCAGCCATAGAGAACACACAGATGAATGGTGCAAGGGCACAACAGTGTTCCAATAAAACTTTACAAAAACAAGTGGCTGGCTGGATTTGGCCTGAGGGCCATACCGTGCTGAGGCCTGAATTATAACGGTAACCCCAGTTGCCAAGAAATCTAGGAATATTCCTTTCACCCTAGGAGAAAAGAGCTCATAATGAGAAGACATTTTGAAGGTAGAGTGTAAAATTTAAGAAAAAAACACATGAGTAGTAGAATCTTCAAGATGAAATACTAAGAAAAAATGAGTTCAAAAAAAAAGCGGCGGGGGGGGGGGG